GGAGAAGGAGAAAATCGAGAAAGAAATTGCAGAAATTAAAGATCAGGAAGCGAAATGGTTGGCAAAGGAAAAGGAATTAGAAGTAAGTCGAAAGACACTAACTTTTTGACTTTAAACGTTTAGTGCAAAGTTTGAAAGTTTCTGCGATTTATTCTGCTCAGCATTTGAAAGGCTGGGCTAGTAGTGATCCTAGCTAAATGCGATATTATCTTCTTGAGGAACAAGAGCGGCTCGAACCTTGGAATGTGGACACCATCGGACATGAGGCGTTCAGTTATTCGCGTATTAACAAAGTTGGTGAAAAGAAACCTCCACCGAAGTTGTCTGATGAGGAGGACTCGAAGAGAATGGTCGGTCTATTCGTATAGATTTTGCTTTTCAATTTTACTAGCTGAAATCAGTGCATGACAGTTTTTCCAGAAATCATACCACTATCTTCATGTTCTAGCCCTTCAAGTTTTTTATTTTGTTTTCTTATTACTAACAAATAGTTAATAAAATATGTATTCCGGTTTCCGCCGGTTTGTTTGGTCTACGGCATCATTTTTCAGACAAACTTCTTCGACCAAAATGAAAGCCTCATCCAAGAGTATGGGAAACTAAGACCTTGGAGGAATCTGAAGAATTCATTCTTGAGCACCCACATCTTGCCAGCGAATACACAGCTAACTACCTTACAATTGATGCACTCAATTTGGCAATCGATAATAAAGTGGGTCCTCTGGTCAGATTCTTTTCTATTTGAAGAAGTTATTCGACTCTCGATTCCAGGATGACGAAATGTGTAATGTTGCTCGACAATGTATCGTAATACAGTACTTATTGGAGTTGGCGAAAAACATGAACGCTATTCCTACGAACTTGAATATTATTAAAGCTTTCTTCAAAAAGTGCGTTTTCTAAGTTAATTATACATCAACTCCATTAATTATTCTTCGATGAGGTGCAGGGCTTTCTCAGCATTGGAGTCCGCTTGGTGCGTGGTTGTTCTCTTGATTCCAACATTCGTGCCCTACCCGCTTTTTGGAATGGTTTATAATAGTTCCAAGTCGATGTAGAAACCCTGGTTTTGAGCGCCTGTTCCTCACGACCTTTTCTAAAGTTTTTTTTTGCGCGGGTGGTTTTTTTTTCTTGAGAACGACTGGGCGTTTTGAGTCTTGTTGGAATCGGATGAAGTTTCAGTGATCTGTTTCACCATATATTTTTCTTGTCAATTTTGTGAGTTGTCCACTGTTTCAGATTCCGCTCTGCAGATCCGCAATATCTCAAGCTGTACACGGATGAGGTGGCTGCATTTGAAGACCGGCTAAGGCGACGTGCTAAAGAAAAACGCGATGCTGCTCTGGCCGAATATGAAGCTGAAGAAAAGGTGAGTTCTTTGTTTTTTTCTCAGCGGGGAGCTTAAACTTTACTGAGTTCTGAACTTCTTGATACTTCTCAATCCTACTCTCTTTCCGATCTGTTTATGTTTTGTGATCAGTTTACACTCTGAAGATTCTATTTTGCTGCTTTGGGAATAGTGTAAAAGATCAGTGGTTCGAATATGTAACGCTAGTTTTTTTTCTATCCACGAACAGGGCGGAGCAACAAATTTCGGAAATAAACCTTGTATCTTGATCATTTGAAGGCCTTTCTCATAGTTTACGTGGTTTTGCTTGAAAGCCTGGTGTTTTTTAGGAAAAACGTATCGCAGCCGCACCAGGAGGCCTGGACCCACAAGAAGTCTATGAATCGCTGCCTGCTGAAATGCGCGCCGCATTTGATAGCCAAGATGTCTCTAAGCTGCAAGAAGTTGCATTAACAATGGATAGAGAGGTGCTCTAATTAATGGTTTGGCGAACCGAATTTCCACTACAGGATTTTCGTTCAATCAATTTTTATTCAAGTTTAGGTGTTTGCTTACCATTTCCAACGCTGTATCGAGTCTGGATTGTGGGTTCCCAACGCAAACGCCGAGGAGGGCGAACATGCCGAGGAGGCGCAGGAGGTTGGTGTGATTGTTCTCTCAATTACGTAGCTGCTTGAGGGTAGAGGGTACCCCCCAGGAGGCCAGCTCGCAGCAGGGCAAATAGCAAACCGTAGCGGACGAGCGCGTGACTGCCTATAGGATTTCGAGGCGCGTCTCGTCGAGCGCATAAATAGAATGTCACCTGGGCCACGTCCCACATCGCACACCACGCGCTGCAACTCGTCCGCCGACTCTGCCTTCTTGCCGCGCGACGGGCCTCCTGGGGGGGGGGGGGGGTACCCGAGGGTAGATTACTTTTGATTACATTTCACTTGACAATTTAGGAAGCTGATACGGCGGCGGCGGCGGAAAAGAGCTAAGTGAAAAGCCGTCGTATTTTGCTTGATCCTCGAACGACTTCCGTTTTGTAGATATTGCTTGGATTAAACGATATTCGATCCTTCGCTGTTTTTCGCTGATTTCTCGGTGGCCCTATCAAAGTTACAATAAGGACGGGAAAATTGCTTCATCTCTTCAGTCCTGTAATCTTACGACATTCTCGTTCCCCTTACTGTGTTCCCCGTCAGATCGTGCACACCCTGTGTTTTTGCCACCGGTTCATTTTTCTCGTTTTTCAACTTATGATTTTCTCCGTGTTTTCAAGTTTAATGATTCCGTTTTACATGTATTCGTATGACTAATATTATTTTCTGTCCATAAAATTAGATTTCAATTTTTTTTGTTAGCATGTTCGACGTATTTTCAGTCGTGAAATCAGGCAAAGGCTGCCCGAGTGTCATTGACTAGGGTTGGTTTCAAAGTCACAGTCAGCAAGTGAACTGAAATATTATGGCTTTCGAAATAAAAATAGTTAAAACACTGGCCTACCGGTAATAGATAAATGCAAAAGGAATCGCTGCAATCACACTGCGTGCCGCTTCCATTGGGCGGGTTTTGCGCCCCGCCCCTCCAGAATAATTTCATGTTAGTCTCCCTATTTTTGCGTTTCTCTTATATTTTATCACTGGTGGCCCAAGAAGCAAAGATCAAATCACATTCACTCAATTACGGATGTGCGTTCAAATGCTGGTGGAACAGAACGTGATGTCAAAGGGCGGAGCTTATTTAACACATAACGGGCGACGTGCGTCACATGGTGGCGCACGCGCGAAAACCACTGTCGTCCGTTACGTGTGAACTGGTGGACCCTCCGTGATGCGTACGTGGTGCCTTTTGGTTTTACCACCGCACCGTATACCACTAGAACTCAACGAGCTAAAAGTTATATTTCATAGGCGAGTATAGTCCAAATAAAGGTCATTAATGTCCAGGACAACATTCGTAGCCTTTCCCGGAGCGCTTCGCCCACTCCCCCAGCGCGAACTTTTCATCCGAAGATTATATCGCACAGTCCGAGACAATTAAGATAAGATCACGACTAAAACTTTATTTAGCACCGTATTCATCTGTTATCCTAATAAGTGAACGTGAGAGGTCGGTCGTTTGAGAAGATCCTTAAGATCATAGTGATCAGAGTGCTGGCAGGACTTTTCCTCGGCATTCGCCAAATCCGATGCGGACACCGTCCTTCTCACAGAATCCGCTGAGGTTCACCTAAAATAAGGATTTTGAGACTCGGAGTTCCCCTAACTCGATGAACCTTGACTTTCGCTTGGCGCTCGCATAGGGGGTTTGGGTGAAACCCTGTTGTGGGAATGGGAAGCTCGATCTTCTTGAGCAAAGACGTTGACTGAGGGCAGACTGTGACTCTTCTGCAACGCTCAAAAGCTTCAACGCTGCGAAGGTGAAAAGGAGGGAAATATACCTAGCTGAAAGGCAGGCGGACCCCACCGATCTTGGGTTGCAAAACGATGCACGTTTCGCGGGGAATGGTATGCCCAGTGGCCAAGCAAGGCCACCTGCACCGCTTGCACACCCACTGAGGAACCCTTTCCGCCTGACTCTAGCCGCGTAGCAGAGACAGAAAGAGCGTTAGCGTTGAAGAGGGCAGCACGATGAGAGTCGCATCAATGCGGAAATCAACGGGCAAGGAAGGGGTCCCATTTCTCGGGTTCTGGCCGTTTTTCTTGATTTTTTCTTCCCCCCATCTCTGACCACATCTCCTCGACTTCTAATGAGCTGCCTTTTCATCGTATACTCCGCCTTCGAAATGTTACAAAATTCCTGCGAACCTCATCACCATCCTGTAGGAATTTCCGAGTCTGATCACCGACAGCTACGGTCTTGGCACCTCGCCACGACAGTTCCAACATCGATCCATACGCTCCTTCTTCCTACAAGTGGAAAATCAATAGCTATGTTTTATACACAGATCCACATTCTGCGGAAATTTCTAGAATCACGTCGATAATTTACTAATGCTTACCGGTCCGGAAACGGTTCCAGAACCCATAAGATCACCAGGTCGGACATTGCAACCGTTCACCGTATGGTGAGCTAACTGTTGCTTCAAAGTCCAGTACAGATGCTGAAATAAGTCCTTGTTAATCGATAACTATAGAATGCACTCGGTTCTTCAAATTGTGCTTCACCTTGAAATTGGTCTTGCACACGGAATGATCAGCACCTCCATCTGGCTTGATCGTCACCTCAAGATTGATGTCCAGTGTGAATGGATCTGAGTGTTTCAGGTAACTCAGTGGAGCGGGGTCCTGAACAGAAAACACTTTGAGACCGTAATTGGCTTTTTTCAATCAATTTCGTAGAGCTGATTTGTCGACCGCTGAATCGTTACACAATTGCTGCGCATTCAAACAAGCTTAGATTTATCCCAATGTGAAAGGGACTCACGTGTCACGTGACTAATCACCTGGGCGATTAACGAATTACAGATGCGTGTGGTTGCGATGCGGCCAACGTGGACGCAAAGCAACCGATAGGGTCCCGACTGGAGGCCAGTGCAGCGAGAAGGCAGAGACGCAGACGAGTGAGCGGACGAGTCGTCGCGCGGAGTGCAGTGATTTCGCGCCAAGCTGGGCAGAATGTGCTCTCAGCCTTCTCGCTAAGCGATGGGCTTACTGTCGGGTACCCCAACCTATAACCCACATTTCTTAATGCCATTCTCGTCGTTTGTCATGAACCTTGATATTCCTTTGGGTTTTTGAACAGAAACCGCTCCGCAGCAGCGCGCAGCAGTTATCGGTGAATTACGCCACCAACGACAGTCCCTTGCAGACCGCTTTTTTGTCACCGTGAGGTCCAGTAGGGTCAAAAAAGCATCAGAAGTGTGTTTTCCTTTTGTACAGGCTAAAGGTGGTATAAATAAAAAATTGAACCTGTTTCGGATTTTC